CGAAAACCTGTCGTATAAAGCATGACTAACGAGAAAGGTCCTAGAAGCTGCCAAAGCTGCCAGTTTTGTCTAAACTGTAAATCCCACATGTGTACCACATTAAAACTCTGCTATTCTGAACTCTGTTAGCCTTAGTTCTGTCCAAACCCTAAACCCTAAACCCTCAAATCTAATTTTTATTTTTCAGAAACACAAACTCCAAATCCTTTCCTAGCATTTCTTAGCCTGTCGACTCACGGTGCCTGTGTCCAACTTCCTTCAGTATGTCGTGAACCACTTTCGTTGGCCCTATTTTGTATGCTGCTATGGGGGTCCTTCCAAAAAGAATCACAAGCTTCCTTGGTCCCCAACACAAGGAGTTGAAGAACTTGCTGCAAAATAGCGGTGAAGGCTTTGAAATTAGACTCTGCACTGAGGTCCGCTGAAGGGACAATGGCGATCAAGAGGCCAATGAAGGACAGCGATGAGTTCGCCCTTGTGCATAGGAGGAAGACCCAGTGACATCAAAGCAAGATGTGTGCTGCTGTTTCTAAAGGGCCTGTATACTTCAGTGACAAAAAAAGTGGGGGAAGTGCAGAGGATGAGAGAGAAGAGAACCCCCAATAGGAGAAAGAGGAGATACCAGCAGCTGGTTCACAAGGAAAGCGAAAACAGGCAATCATTGCCATGCTGCAGAAGTCAACAGAAGCGGCGAGAGGAAAACAACCGCCATGCCAGCAAGGGACACTGAAACATCAGAGTGCGAGAGATCGGGTCCCAAAGGGAGGAAACAGAGCATGGGGACCATTGCGGGAGAAGATAGGAGTGACAAGGGACGCATATATGGAAAGAATGGAGAACAACCTATGTGTGAGATGCGGCCGCAAGGGATACTTAGGTCAATGTAGAGCAAGAAGACCAGTAAAAGAGTAGGGCTAGTGGATGGCGCAGACCCATCTATCATAGGTTGGGGAAAACAATTTCACAAGTCGCAAGGAGCCTAACTTTCTCGCTCCCCAAGGTGAGTTGGCCAAGGCCGCAAGCACCCGCTAGGAGGAGCAGCAAGAAGATGCACATTGTAGCCCGATGTTCGACGTAGTGCTTTCACCTGCACTGTCCCACTGCCGGAGACGACACAATCCAACAAGGTGCAGAGGCTTATGTATTTGTGCATTGCAGTCAAGAAGAAAGGTGTACACATGGGAAGCAATTGAAGATTTTAGCGAAGAAAAGGATGTGACCTAGATTAACACCATGATTATCAATCACAAAGTGGTGAAGACAATGATTGATAATGACTCGTGATAATTTTCCAGAAGGCGATCAGGAGATTGCATCTAGGAACGAAGGTGCAGGTCCTCACTATGCCTGTGGAGGTCAGAACTGCAGACGGGAATATAATTCACGTCAAGCAATGTGTAAGAGGCGTTGTTGTTACTTTTGACGTTGATGGGAAGATATGTCATACTGTGTCTTTCTTCATCCTGGACGGATTGCCGTGCCAGATGGTTCTTGGTCAGAGATGGATAAGAGCAGCGAGAGCAATAATTACTTGTGTCATGTAGATGGTGCAAATACTAGGTGCCAAAGGCAATTATGTGGCTTGCATGAGAGGATATGCAAAGGGAGCAGTGAAGGATGGAATCAGGGAAGAAGTGCATGTCGGCAGCAATGTCGTCAGTTATGTGCGGCAACATCGCAGCGAGGGACGCGGGTTAGCATGGGCCACTACAGCGGATGCAGAAACGGCTCTGAAAAACTGTGGCAGCTTATAGAGGAGCACAAAGACCTGCACGGAGAGTCAACTGGCATTGTGGAGAGAGAGAGGTTAAGCATCTTCTTCGTAAATATCAAGTGTTGTATCGATAGAGGGGCATGTCTCAAAGAACTGAAGAAGCAACCGGTGGAACTGATCACCATCAAGAACGTGAAGTTGTTGCTACGCATCGATGACCTGTTGGACAAAGTGCAAGGCAACATAACTTTCTCCCACATAAACATGAAAAGTGGCTATCATCAGATTGAGGTGGAACCTACTGATCAGCACAAGACAACATTCGAGACCCGATACGACAACCACCAGTCACTACCATGTCGTTTTGACTAACTAACGCACCTGCCATTTTTCAGTGGGTGATGGCGTATTTGCTCTAGTGTTATCTAGACCAGTTTTGTGGTGGTCCACATGGTTGGCATCCTTGTGTTCAGCCACAATGTCGAGGAGCATGTGGAGCATCTGAAGGCAGTGTTCGAGGCACTAAGAAAGGGGAATTACAATATCAATGCGAAGAAAAGTGAATTTAGGGGGAAAAAAAAAAAAAAAAAAAAAAAAAGAATTTACTATTTAGGAAGAGATACTCTTATCTTCGGCATGTGATTGAAGGATTTGAAGTATTGGGCCAAAAGCCAAGAAAGTGGAGGTCGTTGCAGAGTGGCTAAGGGCACAAAATGTTAGAGATGTGCGGTCCATCTTGAACATGGTCAATCAATATAAGGAGCTCATGAAAGGTTGAGCCACCATTGCCGCATCGTTGACCTGATTTGTTGATAAGGATACCACATTTGAGTGGATAGAGGAGTGTTAGAGGTCCTTTCAAACTCTCAAGGATCACACAACTAGATATCCCATCTTCAAGGTTGTAGATCCTGAACTTCCATTTGTGTTACCCACTGATGCTACTGTCTTCACGTGAAAATGACCGCCTGGGCGTTTTATTCAACTTACCCTAAAAAGATCGGATTTTCGGTTTTACTCTCTTTTTCTCAAATAGAATGCCCCTTCGAATATAACGTGTGGGCGTTATATTCAAATAGAACGCCCGGTCGTTGTATTTGAATGTCCCATGGGCAGAGTGCCTTGTAGAGGTAGTATACATGGGTTTGAAAGGGCGGGGAGGGGGATATAGGTGGGTCTTAAAGGAGGTTGAAAGGGGTTTTGACTTCCAAGGGGCATATTTCGGTTTGATTTTTTGTTTTTAACTTTTTATTTTTTATTTCCGAGTTTTTGAGGAATTCTGTAGTGACACTCAGCCAAAAGTTCGTTGCATTGCAATTCTGGACAACATTTTTTTTTTACAGAATTTTTTGAAGTTTTTGTTTTCCGGGATTTTGGGCCCCCACCGAAGTTGCCACCAATTTACTAATATAACGCCCGGGCGTTATAAACAAATATAACGCCGGGCAGGCGTTATATAAGCATACAACGCCCGGGCATTATTTTCGGGTGAAGACAGTAGTCAGTTTGTCATTGGGGTGGTGCAATGGCAAAACAATAGGTATGGGCCTCTTTCGACACCACTACAAAACCCTTGCTTTGTAAGGGCGCCCTTGCGACGGAAATTGGATTAATTTTCCCTTACCCCGTTTTTCGTTCCACAACCACTTACGAAGACCCTACACTTACGCGCACTTACCTTTCAGGTGCCTCCGATTCCGTGGTATGCGGTTTTGTTTCGGTTTAGAATGTCCGACCCGAACTTGTGCCGGACATATTCGTGTCCGCGACCTTTGGGCCCATGGGACACGAGAATCCGAATTTCGGCGAAGCGAGGCGAGCCTCCCGAATGGGCGCGCGAC